TAAGAGAGGTTTTTTAGTTCATCATACTATACAATTTTGGCTTTGTATTGTACGACCTTATTTTGTACTGTACAACCTTGTTTCATATTGTATGATTTTAAATTGTACTGTACGATTTGTTATGCTCTGTCAAAACCCTAGCCGTCAGAGGTCAAGAAAGATAATAATTATGTGTTGATTGTATCATATAATTTTGTTCGTTCTATATGCCCTAATTAAAATCTTTCTTAATTTATCCATTGAAATCAGACAATAAAATCATGAATTATTATGACTGATTGTACTATACGATATAGTATGTACAATATGATTAATAGTGTAGAAAATTGGTCATCCCCAAGATCATATCAAACAAAGTCCATGATTTTGTATTGATTATACTGTACGATGTCCACAGTGCTGGACGATCGATAATATACAAAGTTGGTCATCCTTAGAGTCATCCCAAATAAACAAAAAATATATATATACTGCTCATACCGTATAATATTTTGATTGCACTTTATGAAATATTATAAAGGTTGAAGAATTCATCTGCACGACCTTGTTGGATGAGTCTGAATTATATTGATTGTACTGTATGATATGTGTATCGTACCGCATGAATATAAGATAGAACTCTTGAAAACTAGGGTTTCTTGAATCCCATTACTTAAGGTTTTCTAATACTTCCATTAGGAAATCTTTGACTGTTGAGGCTTCAGGAGAGAGCTTTATTGATCTTGTTCTCAAGATCTTCAGTTTTTTAATATTTTAACCATAACCTCTCATTTCCCTTTTCACTTATAGAAATGGAAAGAGTGGGGCAAATAATCCTCCTTGAACTTTCTCCCTATTATGTAAGCCTTCGTACAAGATGAAAGTTTGACCTTTCGCGTTTTAGAATTTGGGAGAGTTCACTGATGGATTCAAAATCAAAATCCTCCAAAAATATTCTTTTCAATATTAATTTGAGATCTATACCATCATATACTACCCCACAATATTCCCTTGTGGGCTAGTATAGGATGTGAAGATTTCATCTCTTCTCGAATTCATAACTAATCTTTGTATTCTATCATTATATGTCGGGTTGTAGTTCTTACAACACAACATATATCATAGAATTAAGATTTTGTTATAATTTTTAATTCTCCAAAATAAAATTTTCTTTCAAAAAATTATCTAATTCCAATCTTCTTCAATTCCAAAAAATCAAATCAAGCAATAATGGCTAGCTAGTTAATTTTCTGGTTTGATCAAGAGCTGATCTCTGAAGTGATTAATTTGGGCAACAAACATACTATTTGGGATGGATTTCAGTACCCTTGAGCTGTCGATGGATGGCTACAAGATAATTAACTTGGATCCTAGTATGGAAGTCCCCTCTGTACTGGAGTTAATTGTAGGGATGTGACCTATTTTGTCTTTGTCTTGTGATGAAGAAAAATAGCCTGAGCTGACTGTTGAGCCTCCCACTGTGGTTAATTCCATTTTTGAGGAAAGATCAAGTTTTGGGATCACATTTACTAGCAAAAATCAGTTGCCTTCTTATTCTTACCTTCTAATACCAACTAAAGCTATTCTTGCCTTCTTATTCTTCTCTTCAGCTCTACGTAAATCTCCTTCCCAAAACCATTCTTTTATGTATCTTACCTAATTTTTCTTCCATTACTTTGTGCAGGCTTAACTCAAATCTTCCACGATGGCCGACCAAATCAATCCACTTCCTCGGCCAACCAATGCGTACATTATGCGCAATTGAGGGACTTCATGTGCCCGCTGTCATGTGAGGAGTGCGCCATTGCATTTGGAAAATTTCCATTTGTGTGAACAATGTGCAAACTATTATGTGTTTTCCTTGGGTTCGAATTGCACCAAAAGGTTTGGCGAATTCCTCCAGTTCAACACTGTTTGACATCTTCCTCTGTACTTTCACTTCACCAAATGCTTCAATGAATCCGCTTCTATTTAAATTTTTAATTAAACGAGCTCCTTCTCCTTCAAGTATACCCCTTACAAAATCCCCTATAACTAGTGATTTTGTCCTGAAATGATATTATGGTAAACTTTCTCAATAGCTAAATATCCTCGAGTAATAAATCATATGATATACTTCATAATGCACAAAACCTTCTATAAACTAAGATTAATATTGATATATCAGTTAAAAATTATCTTGATTGGAAATTGAACGTCTCGGAAATATGAACCCAACAACACTAAATTCGACACAATCTGAGCTCAAATGAGTCCAAATTAAACACCCGAAATGCATTTGGAAGGTTTAATCTATAATTTGAATTACCAAATGGTTTTTAAACGTGACATGTTTATAGTCGAATTGAGCGGCTTGATGAGACGAATCCAATGAGCCCAAGATCACCGAATTCTAACATCACTAAGGCATACAAATGTCCATCAAACAATCCACGATCAAGGGATTCAACATCAGTCGTCCATCCAAGCCACTCCCAATATGCCCTTGATCTACCATCTATTTACGGGTCATGCCACTCTAGGAAATCTATAAATAGAGTCATCCTCCCTCTTGAATGGGAGGCTAAAAGGAAGAGAGCAAGAGAGAGATTAGAGATCGCTCTTGCCTCCTCACTCCTCAATCACCGTCTGAGTTCCGCTGGGCCACCACTGAAGGCACAGACTTACGTCGGACCACCACCTGAGGTCCGGACTTCCGCCGGACCACCACCTGAGGCCCGGACTTATGCCGAACCACCACTTGAAGCCTGAACTTTCGCCGAACCACCACCTGAGGCCCTGATTTCTGCCGGATCACCACTTGAGGCCCAGACTTCCTCCAGATCACCACTTGAGACCCAAACTTTTGCCGGACCACCACCTGATGATCAGACTTCTACTGGACCACCACTTGAGGCCCGGACTTCTGCCGGACTACCAGCTGAGACCCGAACTTATGTCGGGCCACCATTTGATGCCTAAAGTTCTACCAGAGTACCGCACTACTACAACAGTCTTTTTGACCCCGATCTTTGGCCAACTACAGTCTTTTGGACCTCTGCCTCCTGCCGATTATGGTCCTTACGACCTTTATTACCTACTACGATCCTTCCGACCTACATCGCTAGACAACAATCTTTCTAAACTCGGTCTTCTGCATACTATGGTCCTTCCGACCTACATCCCTGAAAGATGATCTTTTTCACCCTGATCTCCTACCTAATACAGTCTTTCCAACCTCTATCCTATCAACTATAGTCCTGCCGACCAAACAAACATGTCTATGTTGATTATTGTAACTCCCACCATGTAATCCACTCTATATGATGTACATTTGTGATATCAAGCCAAGGCCTTCTCCCTAAGAAGGGCCTCATTTGTAATTGACTGCAAATACTAGTGGATTCATTCAAATTGGGGCTAGGCCCCGTGATTTTTCCCCATTTTCAGGGGTTTCCACATAAAAACTCTAGTGTCTCTTATGAATGCTACACCCTCTTTCTTATCTGCTTGTGCGCTGGATCTTCGTACAATGCTAAGACACTAAACTTTATATTTTTCTACCGCCGCGAATACTCCATGACACAACAAATATAACTTAATCCCCTTAAATAAATATTTAACTTAGGTATATAAGGTACCCTTAGATGAAAAAATATGTGGCTACTGACAGGGATATTTCATTCAAGTCGAGTCTTATATCTCCTTTGACTAAGTAGATCAAAATAACATGATAACTTGGAATAAAAAAACCAAAAGATTTTGATATGACTCATCATCATTTTCCCTACCATCTATTTTAAGTGCAACATGATAAATTTCAAATCATAATACTGAATTTGCTATTATTATATACTTAGTATTCAATGTCTATATAATGATTAGGCTTAATTAGATGTTCTCTCTCATCACCATGAGGGATAATTAATTATATGGGCGCTTATGAAAAACCTAAAATCAAATTACAAAATCCTCACAAAAATTGACAATAAGCAATTGAATAGAAAGTCAATAAACTCTTATAAGCTAGAAGAAACTACTTTTCAAATAGAGAAAGAGTTGTATTTTTATCGAGTCAATCTTTTTGAGTTAGAAAATGTCGGAGCTATCTACCAATATCTTATGAATAAGATCTTCAAAGACCTTATATGATTGGCTTGGAGTCATAGAAGTATATTTTGATGATATGTTTATGAATAATTTGAATAAAATCACAATATATCTACCTTTTGAAAAAAATCTAGTCTAATGAGAAATGTTGTAGATGTATTTTGCTTTTTTTCTCCTTGTGTTATAAGCTTAGTCCTAGTACAAGAGGATAATAAAGCACAAAATCCTATTTAGTGTATATGATAGACAAGGGCATTATTTCACAAATAGAACAACATTAGCCTTAATATTCATAGAGTGAAAATTATGACCATATTTTCAAGCTCATGCCATTAGGGTCTACACCAATCACCTATTAAGAAATATCCTTAAAAATAAAAAAAATCATATAAGAGATCGATCAAATGGTCATTGGAGTTAAGAGGAGTTTGACATATATTTCTTGCCTCGGCCAAACATCAAGTCAAAAATACTCATTGACTTTATTGTCGAATTCAACATCCCTATCTATATTGAGCCACATATTCTTCCTCCCCCATCACCTCGTTGAGTGTATATGTTGATGGAGTTTTGAAAAGCTCTAGTGATATAGGGTTGAAATCTCACTTTTCTATCCACATTAATTAACTAGAATACAAACTCTGCTTAAAATTATCTACAACGAATATCATCAACAAGTATGAAGCTCTCTTATGCTGAATCTAAAACTTACAATCTACTATTAATTTCAAAACATCGTGATTCATATCAACTCTAAACTTTTAGCTTCTAAAGTCGAGATAGACTTTGATGCCCATAATTCATAAAGGAAATTTAAAAGTAAATAGCTCCAATGCACCGAATATGAGGCTGATAAATATTGCAGAGAACAATCAGCTACTATCATTAATAAATCATAAAGAATATCAAGCTTTTTTTTTTCTTTTTAAATGGGGGATAATAAAACCTTAAGCTCTTGGATAAAATGGTTAGGCTACATCTCTCCAAGATGATGAGAGGTAGATAGATGAAGATGATTACTTCGAATTTACAAGAATTCGACCCCCAGCCACTATACATTCCTCACCACTAACGAAACTCTACTAACCACACAAGGAAATAATAATAATAATAATAATTAAAAAATATATATTATATATTGAAAAACCAGCTCATAACCCCCATTTTATCATAGCCCCTTTTTTTTTTCTTTTAAAGGGCTAAAATAAAATAATAGCCACATATACAACTACTTGATCAGTGAGAAATTTGGCAGTACCCTGATTTTAATTTTAATTTTTTTTTTTCTCCTCATTTTTAGACGGGTGGGCGTGAATCCATACTTTAAAAACTGGGTGAATGAACGTACAGGCCTTCAGTGAGCTCCATCAGTTCCACTGCAGCTTACAGTGCTTGATCTGTCAACCATCCTCACATTGTATTGTTCATAAACCCTGGCTCTGTTCCCTGCCCACCATTGCTCTGCTTGTTTTTCACTGAATCTCTTCCGGCTGGGTCAAATTTAACAAAAGTTGATTGATTAAATATATCAACAGGATCATTGAGCATTTAAAATAAAATATTATCATACAACAACAACAATAACATCAAGCCTTTATCCCACTACATGGGATCGGCTACATGAATCATTTTTCTTCATAGTGTTCTGTTAAGAATCAAAATCTCATTTAGATGATCTAAATAAAAAATGTTGTATTAACATCATTAATATTTTATTAGTATTATTTATGGAAATAAAACCTATGGCAGCTAATCAATTCATAAGTGACTAAACTAATCAATTTATAAGTATTTACTTAGGTTAATAAAGGTTCAATTAGAATCTTTATTAAGATCAACAAGAATTTATTACTATTTAATCATAATAATTAAGCATTGGGTAATGCACGAATCAATGAATTACTCATAATAATTAAAGTTATTTATTTATAATGATTGATTACGAAATAATTAGTTCCAGATGAGTAGTCTGGCCATTATTACTATTGAACTTCAACTTCCAAGTATTCTCCAGTTTACCCGGGGTTGCACACTACGTGGTTTAAAATGGGAAAAGGATTCCCCTTCTTACTATAACATATTTTGAGATATCACGCATTCTCTTGCAATCTTCTTTTTCATCTTCCTTCTTTTACTGTACTGCTTCTCGAGATTTTTTTTTTTTCAGTTTTGAGAAGGCAATTGAAGAGTCTGCATCAAAGAGTACTACGATCATTCCCTTCAGGGAATAAAGAAAGAGCTAGTTAGGCACACTAAAGCTTTTGCTAACCTCAAAATTCTACTTGGCTAATCAACATCGTAGTAGTTTTAGTGGTTGCTTAATGATTATTTAAGGTTGATAAATCAAATCTTAAAAGTCTATTTTCATTGTATATGATAATCATGCGCATTGATATTGATTTATTTTATTTTATAGTTTTTTTTTTTACAATTTATTTAATGTGGCAATTTCTATGATAATGATGCCTAAAAGAATGTATGTATTCTATAATGCTTTAATTATCTTGATTAGTTTAAAATTTGAATCTATTCTTGGCTATGAACCTAAATGTCTAATAGAAATTGAACCTAATCTTGATGAATATCAAATATTTAATTTTTTAGAATAAATTCTTTTTCTAGCCAAAAAAATGAAGCAAATCTAAAAATCATACTTACTGGATATATAAATTGGGTACGCGAAAGTCTGAGGTTTCCAGTTATTTAATATAATATGTAAATAATGATGAAATTTATGTGAATAGGATATGTTAAATAGTATATTAATTTTCTCGATTAGTTTTGTTTATTGCTTACGTTGTAAAAGATGATTTGATTCAAGTCTTATCAAATTCCCTAGTTTAGGATTTTCCTACTCACGGTATTCAACAATGTGGTATGTTTCCCTCCGGGTTGGCATTTAACACTATAGTTGGGTCGGTGCTTCGATAAAATCCATTGACTTTTTTCCTTATTCAGTGGTTGTTGAGTTTCCTTCCATATACGATTTTGTTTTTTGTCGGGTTGTTGCGTGTTACTTATTTGTTGATTGGTTTTCTGCTATATGCAATTTTCTATTGAAGCAGAGATGCACAAAAATTATTATCCATATATGATTTTTTACTATAGTTGGACCCAAAAATTGGATGATTGAGAGATTGGAAGAACCTAGACATGCGGCAAATGCTGGAACTGGGATTGAAAACTTGCTTATTTTGATGCAATCTGAAATTTTTGAAGTTGATACTTGCAATTAGGCTAGATTTATATGATTTTTTTAAAACTATAAATTTTGGGTCATTCTTTATTATAAATTGGGCCTTTCGGCTTGTAAAAAAAATCATCCTATTGCTTAATAAAATTCAAATTTCCATTTAAATTTCTGTGTTGTTACGTGAATTCTCCGATAAGTGTAAATTTTCAGGAGAAACTTCTTGTACTAGTGTGAAGCCTAATCTTCTATTTGGTGACTTCTATTTTTGTTTTTTTTTTCATCTATTTATAATACTAATGATTATGCACGTGTGATTTAAATTTAGTTAAGTCGCTATAATCTGATTTTCCTTCTTATGGGTTGAATCCTAATCATTGTGTGGTTTATTGAAATTTTGGATTTCTTATAGAATTTCAGTATTCGGTATGTTTTAAATTATCATTTGGAGTAACTTTTACATACGTTGTACTTAGCATAAAAATTATTGCAGTTATTTTCCTGAGTTTGTGGGCTACAAATTAATCCTGTGTTCTTGAGAATCTCATCCTCGATTTGGATGAAGTTAAAACATAAACCATAAGTTATTCTGCATCAAATACTCTAATTAAATATTAATTAAATTTTAGTTTGATTAGTTAAATTTCTATAATTATTTAACTGGAAAGTTGCTAATTAATTAGTGATTATGATGGTAACTTAAAATAATTACGGCATGAATAAACTTTCATCATGATAATTAGTAATTAGATGAATTATTTGAGATAATTACATACATATATAAAGGTTATGTGTCCTATTTTGATTTTTTAATTTTTCTAATTTTGCTTTGCAAAAAGAAAATAAGTAGATTATGCGAAGATTCCTTTATTTTATGAGAAAACAAAAATGAAATAAAATAAAACATAAAAATAAAACAAAACAAAATAGATGAAAACAAAAAATAAATTCAAATATGACATAAGCATCTAATTTTGTTATGTTACGTAACAGATGCTTCAAGAAAGGCAATGTTAAAATTAGATATGCTTACTGCTTACCTGAATCGAACCCGCTTGAGATCTTTAACACCACCTGGCAAAGAAATTAGTGTGATATAAACGCCTGGTTCATCTTGCTCAACCCATTCAGACTCTTGATTGGTATCTCCATCGGTCAATTTGCTTCCATTCTTTGTTGTTTCAGAATGACCACCTCTGCTTCGATGGCCAATGGAACTAGCTGCACTAGTAGCTATTAGTCCATTTGAACAGTTTGAATCTGGCTCGGGATTACCGTTGAAGTTACCCATTTGCTCAATAGAAGCAGCAGAGATGTCATTGATAGCTGCAATAGAGCTCAACGATGTCAAGGAAGAAAGTTTACTGTTTTTGGTTGCTCCAACGGGTAGTCTTTCAGCCAAATCTTTCAACTGCACCAATCACAAAAAGTAAATACTTGGACTGGATGAATGTGGACACAAATGAAGAGAACATAAGATCAATGTACAATGTAATAAAGGTAGAATTAGGTTATTGGGAAGTAGACCTCTATCTGTTTATAAGACATCTGATTAAGTGAAAGAGCTAGAGGGTAAGTCCTGTGATCTAGGTTGAAAAGTCGATAGATTTTTGTTGTATTGTCAAAAGTGTTAGACGCACTCATAACTACATAATGTTTTAAATGCCAGGCGCCACCCTAGGCACTTGCCTGAGTATAATTTGGCTCTTAAAAATTCACGATATTTTACTTGATATCCCTATTTAAATTACTATAAATACTAGTGAACAGTACACAGTAGGTGAAATAAAAAATTTTCAAGTTTCCTTTCCACTTTCCAAGACCTTAATAAGTAATGCTAACAAAGAACTCAAAATATATATATATAAATGGCTTAAAAATTAAAACTAGTTAACCTTATAGCTAGCATAGTCTATAGATTATCTAATATTTGCTGTTATTTAATCCATCATCATTCATTATTTTCTCCCTTATTAGTTGCATCCCTCCATCTCTTCTATCTTGGTAGACTCAAGCTCTTATTTCTCAAGGTTTACTAATCAAGAACTTGAATGTCAACTTATTTCCTACAGCGTATTCCTGTTTCTCCAACTATTATTGCGCTTTCTATATCAGCAAATCAAATTTTCATCATCCAAAACTACTTGTGCATTTTAAGTATTGATACTCATATGTAAGCTCATGGCAAGGCATTCTTGTTGACCTGTATACATGAGCCAAAAAGAAAAAAAAAAAAAATTCTCTCGTACCTGTACAATGACAGCTAACACGATCGAAATCCCGCAAATCTTGCGAAATCGGACATCCAACGCACGATCCCGCGTGGCTCATTGCACATCGACGTCGTTTCACACACGATCTTTGTATGTCGCCTTTCGTCGTTAAAAGGCCGAATGAAGGAAGCTCTTGGGATGAATCTCTCTCGCTCTACTCCCTCGTTCGACTTCGACCTTCAACGACTTTCCCTTCCTTCGAATCGGAGGCTACAACAGGTTGATCGGAAGGAACAAAGGAGCTCACCTGTTTGCTTCTCCAACCTTTTCGTAGCTGTTCGGCTTCACTCGATCGTTGACTTTCCCTTCCTGTCGGGATCGGAAGTCACAACATTTTGATCGGAACCAACAACTGGAGCCCGCCGGCTGCGAAGATAACTTTCTCTCGGTCGTGCGCTTCTTCGGCCTCTTTGATGTTGCTCGACTTCACCTGCTCGACGACTTTCCATTCCTGTTGGATCGGAAGTTACATTTTGATCGGAAGCACAAACGGGAGTTCGCTTGCGGTGAAGATAACTTTCTCCCCTTTGAGTTGCTTCTCCGGATCCTCCTTTGCTGTTCAACTTCGCTGCTTCGACGACGTTTCCTTCCTGTCGGGTTCGGAAGTTACGACATTTTGTTCGGGAGATACAACGGGAGCTCGCGTTGCTTCTTCGACTCTTCGTGGCCGTGCGACGTTGCTCCTTCAACGACCTTCCCTTACTGTCGGATCAGAGGTTAAGACATTTTGATCGGGTGCAAGAACGGAAGCTGCTCACTGTGAAGGCAACTTTCTCCCTTACCTTCTTCGGCCAAATCCCTGTTACCAAACAGCCTTTAGGGCTGTTTTTGTTATATTGTTATTATTATTATTATTATTAAATGTTTTAATAATGATAATAATAATCATTAATATAATTAGTTATATTTAACTATGTTTAATTATAATTAATTATATTATTATAATTAATTATAATTACTTAATTTAATTATATATTAATTATTTTTAAATGATAATTAATTAATAAAAATAATTAGTTATAATTAATTAATTTTAATTATAATTAGTTATCTAATTTAATTAATTATTAATAATTATAATTGATTATAATTAATTAAGTTAATTATAAATTAATATTTTTAATTATAATTAATCGATATTTATCATAATTAATTATAATTAATTAAATTTAATTATAATTAATTATTTTAATTATTATTAATTATAATTAGTTGAAAAAAAAAGAATAAAAAAACGGAATCCTCCTTTTGCCTCGATCCACGAGCCACCGCCAGAGTCGCCAAGGTATAACTCCAATCCCGTTCTCGACGTTTGCAGCGGACCGGGGAACCACTTATACGCGCTCTTGTAGCACGGTAGGAGGGAGCCCGGTGCGAAGCATACGACGAGGCGGGTAAGCCTATACACGCTCTTGTAGCGTGGTGGGGAACAGTCCTCGACCCGACCTCGACACCGACACCGCCGACGACTGCTACGAAAGGTATGATGGTCCAAAATCCCATTCTCGACGTTTGCAGCGGACCGGAGAACCACCTATACGCGCTCTTGTAGCACGGTAGGAGGGAGCCCGGTGCGACGCATACGACGAGGTGGGAAGCCCTATACTACGCTCTGTAGCGTGGTGGGGAGTCACTGCTGTTCTGGTACGTCACTGCTGTTCTGCTGCACGGGTACTGTTGAAGGCCCCATACACGCTCTTGTAGCGTGGTGGGATGAAAATTTGTACGGCTGCGGTGTCTAAGGACACCTACCATACACGCTCTAGTAGCGTGGTGGGAAGGCCCAGCTCCCCTATTTTCCCCCAAATGGGGGATATGCCGGGGTGTTGCCGAAATTTTCACTGAAATCTACAAAGGCTTGAACAATTTGAAAATCTTATTGGGCAACAATATAGAAGATCTGTATTGGAACAGAAATGCACAGAAATTTGAAACTAAAAGTGCAGAGGACCTGTACTCGAATAAAAATGTACAGAACTTGAACTAAAATGAGCAGAGGACCTGTACAAGAACAGAGGACTTGTGGACCTAAATCAGAATCAAAATTCAAATGATTTCTAAAATTCAAGTCCAAATAAAATCAAGACAGAACTGAGGATCAAATTCAAGTGAAATGAAATCAAATTGGGACCAAAATCGAATAATTTGAACATTTAATTAAACTCAAATTCAGATCATTGAACACAAATTGAACTTGCAAGAACTTCAAAGGACCCTGGACAATCAAATTGAACTTGAACGAGTACTCAAATTGAACCAAACTTGAGCTCGAATGGAGTCAAAAATCAAGAGGGAACAAGAAATCCAGATAAGAATTGCACTTGAGCCGGCCAAAGAACTTGAATCCATTCTTGAACTCGGGCTATACGACATCAAGTGGGGACTTGTAAACTTTGATGAATTCAAGTCTGAATGAAACTGAATTTGGACCAAAACACATGCAAAGATCAAAGTTTGGATCACACACGGGAAACTCAAACTACAAGACCTTGAATATAACGAACTCCTACAATAGTTCCTACGAGGTCAAATGCACCACACTTTCAAGACAACGAGGGAGATTCAAGCATGGTTGAACTTTGAAATCGGGTCCGATGGAATACATAGAATTGGGACTTTGGGTGAATGAACCAATCAGAGTCTAAATGCACAGTTCTCTAAATTAACAAGTTACAAGCGGGGGAATGAATCCCTGTGGACACGAAAGATGTGTTAATTCCTACAATAATCCCTACAATTGCCTGTTGATTGAGAAGGTAATATGGAGACCAGCAATCAAAGATCCATCTTCTACAAACAAATTCAATATGCCACCTGAGATTGGTGAAGGTGGACACAATACTGATGTCAAATGGTCTCCTACAATACCTTCGGGAAGGTCGTAGTGAGTACAACAGTCCCCTGCAAATGGCTACAAAGCAACTTGTGGATAACAACAGTGTATTGTATAACGAATCACTGTGGACACGAGTGCAAATATCACCTACGACAGCAGTGATAAAAATCTAAAAGTACATCGGGTACAAAGGCAACCCGATGTACGGAAAAGGACACCCGCCCTGGAAAGGGAGAAAATGTTTGAAACAAATTAGAACCAAACTTCCTTGGTATTTCAAAGTTTCTTCTTAATCTCTATACTTTAGAAGAAAAGCAGTCTGGATGCCACAAACATCGAAAATAAAAGTCTGCTAAACTGAAGAGCTTAAAGGAGTTCTTCTTCCAAATCAGCAGTATTTGACTCCAAAATCCAAAAAATCTCCCCTGGTGATTGAGAAAGGGGAGTCAACATCAAAATCCAACGCCACCGATCTGCAACATTCATACAAGCAGACAGAAGGCGTCTACAATCTACAACGCACCGCCACCGGATCTGCAACACTCATACAAGCAGACAGAAGGCGTCTACAATCTACAAAACCACGCCACCGATCTGCAACACTTATGAAAGCAGACCAGAAGGCGTGTAATAGACTTTTCAAGGAATGCTGTGCATTCAAATGAGAAATACATTGCACAACTACAAAATATTTCAAATACCCCTTACACGCGCACCTTAGTTTGTATACACATAGGTACAACAAGGGTAATACAATCTCAACCCGCATGGACCCTGCGAGCGTGTTATTGGTACACACGTTTGACGCTATGGATGCTACACTAGTGACAAGTGAATTCAAGTTCGAATCCGATCATTCTATACGGATCAATAGAAGTCGACAAGATTCGAACTCTACCTAACAAAATACACGGTGTAGCAACGGTGTATTTATTTAAATACATTCTTTTTAGCCTTCAAGCCTAAAATTGAGAAAATCATCAAACAAGGCACAAAGCTATGAGAAACCCGATCCCCTATCGATAAGTTGATAGGGTCGACAAGGTTCAATCAAATGGAAATGACCCCAAACACCCGATGATGGCGTGTTGAATGCAGATCTCAACCGGAGGGGTTCCACAAATATCTCAAATTCCATTCAAATGTCTACCAGAATCCAAACTCTACAAGCCCCAAATCCAAAAAATATTTAAAAATGAAATATATCCATCAATGCTTAAAGCAAAATCCATCCACCCCCGCACACAATCTGCCCAGGGTGGACAATTCAAATATACTCTGCTCACAAAGAGCCAAATGCCT